AGTGTGAATGGGAATCCCCGTTTCAGATCACTTCTCACTCTCATGGTGTAAATCTTGCTCAGGGTGCAAAGTTTAGGATGTTGGATTATGAATGTGTGTATGGTGGCCAAAACATTCATATGGATTTGGCATCAGCATGTTCTTGTCATCATATTTTATGTTCAGAGGAACAGAACCCCTTAGCTAAGGTTTGAGCATCATAAATATAAATTAAGCCTAAAATTTGGGTATGTATTTATTTATTTATTTGCATTTTCTTTTTTTTCTTTAATAAAACAAAATTTGTACACATGCATATGTATGTTTAAACAGTGTTTTCACATGTTTCAGCTATTTTGCACATATATTTTACCGGTAAATAGTTACTTATGAACAGAAGTCATAAAATTAAAAAATAAAATAAGTAAGTAAAGAAATAAAATAAAACATAAATGAAATACATGACGTTATAGATGAACATATTGCAAATAATTAAAAAACATACACATTTATAAACATCTCTGCTAGGCATACTGGTTTGCATGACCAGTTGAAAATGAAGAATGAAGTGAAGTGAAATGAAGACCAAATTATTAGTGCAATTATTGTGTTACTTAATGTTTGTGCAGCATTATGTTAATAGTTCATGTGTTTCTCTACGCCTGTTACTCTGAGATGCCTATCCAAATTAAGGGAGAAATGACTTTGCATCCATTAAAAATCACCAAAACACCATCCAATTACATAACGCTGAGCAAAAATTAAGTTGGTTCATAGAAAAGATCCTGCAGCATTTGAGTGCACTTAAATTTGATCTTTTTTATTTAATGCAATAATATTCAGGCATTTTAAGCATTCAGATAGGGGCCACTTTACGTGTGAATTTGCAGTGTTATATAGTTTAACACAGTTGGTTAGAGATAGGGGTTAGGGTATGTGTGTGTGTGTGTGTGTGTGTGTGTGTGTATATGCCCTGCAGACACAGGTGTGTGTGTGTGTGTGTGTCACCACTCTGATACAGGTTTAGGGGGGAATTGTGTTTCAGCACTACAGAGGGTCTTTCCTTAATCCATTCACACCCTCCGAGTGACCCGAACTCAGGAGTCTGTCCACTGATCGAGACTCAGAGAGAGCCAGAGAAAGGTCTGCAATAAAGGAGAAGAGATTATCCTCCATTCCTGATGTAATTCACTCTGTGTTTGCATACCAAATGCCTCTGAGAGATTCCCACTGAAGTCCAGCATTTGAGAAACGTCACGCGTGAGCGTCCACATAATCCCCACAAAGAGGGTAAACTGACACCCCGCTGTGATCAATATCATTTGAATACTATTTCCTTCCATTTACTTTGATATATTGAAAAGCCAAGTATCAGACCAGAAAGTTACTGAGCTTCTAATTTACTGATACTGTAACATTTGTGTATACGTAGAATAAGTCATTTCAAAACCTACTATTTTCCCTTCCTTTTTTATATCCCAATGATTATATGTTACTCAAGATCATATAGACATTCAGAGAATGCTGATCTCAGATAGTTTCTCTCAACGTTATGAGAAAGTATATCAAATATTAATAAAGTTATCAGAACATTCCATAAATATTACTGATATCATTTGAATACTATTTCCTTCCATTTACTTTGATATATTGAAAAGCCAAGTATCAGACCAGAAAGTTACTGAGCTTCTAATTTACTGATACTGTAACATTTGTGTATACGTAGAATAATAGTCATTTCAAAACCTACTATTTTCCCTTCCTTTTTTTATATCCCAATGATTATATGTTACTCAAGATCATATAGACATTCAGAGAATGCTGATCTCAGATAGTTTCTCTCAACGTTATGAGAAAGTATATCAAATATTAATAAAGTTATCAGAACATTCCATAAATATTACTTTAAGAACGTTTTGTCCAAGCATTTATTTAGCTTTTGAAAATGTTAAAGCTGATGGACAACCCTAATGGACATTATTAAATCTTTAGCTCTTTGTTTACACCACAAAATAGACATGTAAATATAAAAATATTTAGAATTTGACTACTGAAAAAAATAGTAACCTACAAATGGTAACATATCAAGTCATAAATAGTTAACATTAAACCTAAGTACATTAATTTATACCAACAAATTTTATTTTTATGGGTTAAATCAGGTAAAACGGCTCTTTTTATATGCAACAATTGCAGGTTACCACTTTTTACAGTGCAGGAAAAGTACAGTGCATATACATTTGTTGCATTTCATCTGAATATGTTATATATTAGGATAAGTTATTTAGTGTAACCTTGATACATAAATGTTAAATATGTTTTTGAGCCATTACATCGGTCGTGGAGTCTCTCAGAGGTTCAGGGTTATGAACAGAGCTGGTGTTGATGGTGGTGACAGACGATAGCTTCGTTTTTAAAGCTTTAGTTGAGATCATTTATGTCAAAAGGTCTAACGTGGACCAGGTGAGTACGTGTTGAGTTCAGAGCGAGGTTGAGTTGGTGTCAGCTTAAATTTCTGATGATTTGGAGGAGGAGAGTTTAGTCAGAATTTCACTTCATATGAAATGCACTTCATATCTGAGAATCAATAGCTGTACATGGACGTATGATTTTATTACCGTTTACGCATATTTAGTTTACGTTCATTAATTTAGCAGAAGTGATTAATTCAATTGAGAAAATAATTCAAATAGTGAAGTTATACCAAATTTCGGTTGAATAACAGTACAGCACTGAAGTATAAGTGCAGAAAAGGGGATACATATACATATACATATACACTACCGGTCAAAAGTTTGGGATCAGTAAGACTTGTAATGTTTTTTAAAGAAGTCGCTTATGCTCTTATGCATTTATTTGATCAAAAATACAGAAAAAACATCTTGCAAAATGTTATTACAATGTAAAATAATGGTTTCTATTTTAATATCCTTTAAAATATAATTTATTTCTGTGATGCAAATCTGAATTTCCATCAGCCATTATTCCAGTCTAAAGCGTCACATGATCCTTCAGAAATCATTCTAATATGCTGATTTATTATTAGAATGATCAATGTTGGCAACAGTCAGTTAAAACAGCCAAACTGCGATACTTTTTTTGAGGATTCTTTGATTAATAAAAAGTCAAAAAGAACAGCATTTATTCAAAATTTTAATCTTTTCTAACAATATAAATCTTTGCTATCACACATCCTTGCTGAATATAAGTTTTAATTTTTTTCAAAAAAAGAAAGAATAAAAATGGACTGACCCCAAACTTTTGAACTGTAGTCTAGAAAAGATTTCTATTTTAAATAAATGCTCTTCTTTTTAACTTTTTATTCATCAAAGAATCCTTAAAAAAAATTATCACAGGTTCCAAAAAAATATTAAGCAGTACAACAGTTTCCAGAACTGATAATAAATCAGCATATTAGAATGATTTCTGAAGATCGTGTGACACTGAAGACTGGAGGAATGATGCTGAAAATACAGCTGCGCATCACAGGAATAAATTATATTTTAATGTATATTAAAATAGAAAACGTTATTTTACATCATAATAATATTTCACAATAATACATTTTTTCATGTATTTTTGATCAAATAAATGCAGCCTTGACGAGCATAAGAAACACCTGTAAAATAAAAAACATTAAAAATCGTTCTGATCCCAAACTTTTGACCGGTAGTGTACATATTTTTCTCTTTTTTCCTGTTTGTTTAAGTTTTAGTTTTATTTAACTATAATAACCCTGCATTGGATTGAAAGCAACCTTGTACCTCACTGTGACCATATGCTTTGTGAATATGTGAATACTCTGAGATAATGAATAATGAATATTGTGTTACACAAAGGCTACTTGAGTACATTGAAAATGCAGTCTTTCAAAATGAAGAAAGACTTTTCCTTTTTCTGAAATCAGGAGTTTCCTCCTTGCATGGTTGCAGTAGAGAGCTGGATAAACACACTCCTGCTGCAACCTGCTGGATGAATCCCAGATCACACTCCTGCACGTCTTATTAGTGAATAATACTCAATATTCACAAAGTTCAAGGGCCAAAGGTTCATCTAAGGCCTGGTAATTGTGGTAAATGACGTCATACGGTGACATGACCTGACAGTCCTATAATAGCATATAATCTCTTATATCATAATCCGTCAGTGTAATTTAGTGAGCCATTAGATTTTATTAGTCAGGTTTTAAAATACATAATACATCAGTGAGTGAGCAATACTTTTTTGCAGGTATTTTTAGTGGTCTTACTGGGTCTCTTTGATTAGTTAAAAATATATATAAAAAAACTGAACACAAAATCATCATCACTCTAAAAAGATTTGTTATTTTACTAAATAATTACAGCATTATTTACATAGGCCTAATATTTGAGGAATGTATGAAACAGAGGAATTGTAATATATTGACAGTTTATTATAAATAAAAACAACAAATGAGACAATTATTTATCATATTTGATGCATAAGCAGATAAATACTATAGAGCTAAATATTTTCACATCTCTGCAATAAAATGTGCACACAAAAAAAAAAAGTATTAAATTGGCTTAAAGTCTAGAGGAACTGAAAGAAGTAAATTTGACGTTTTTAAACACGCCATGCACATGATTTTTAGGTTCTTAGTAGAAACGCTAGACACCTAAATGACATTTATGAAACGTTTTACAATATTTTGATGGTATTGTTCTTAAACATAAGTGCAATAAAATATTTTTAGTGGCCCGTACAAATATTTGAACACTTAAGTCACACTTAAAACATGCATTAGATAAAATATCAAAAAAGTGGCATTCATTTTAAAGAAACAGCACAAGCAAAACACGAACACAAAAAGCATCTGAGACACTCTTATCTAATGCAATGACTTTTTTTAAGTGTACCTTTTAAGCCTTTGTATGTATAGCCTATGAATACAATACAATTTTGTGGCAAACAGAATTCAGCTAAATTCAGTTTTGCAGTGCACTTCACAGTTAATGTGGCAGTTTCTCACTAATGGAGCTCCAGTCTGTGTTTTCGCTTTAGTACATCATGATCTCTTTGGGCGCATCCTCCGTTGGTTTCTCCTGCTCTTTGCGGCGAGTGTATGCGGCGTGGACGTACAGATAGACCACGAGGATGGCCAGCAAGTTGACGCCGATGTACGGTATCAGGAGGAAGAACCCTGCCTTTAGGGTAATTTTTGGATTCCTCAACTCCACGTTGGCTTCATCTGCTTTCACCAGCGTCTGGAACATCTCGCCCAGGTAGGCGTTCGACACGTACAGAATCAGTGCCAGGGTGGCCACACATACTGGACAAGAGATAAGACACATTAGCAAACTTGCCCATGCACAAACAGGTCCATTTAACTAGATTAGAGTCAGTAGAGTAGATGTATGATGGACTGAATTCGGAGGACCAACTTGAACATGAGCGAAATCTGCGTGGGGAACGTTTTCACTCTCATGAGAAACTCACAATCATATTGAAGCCTGTTTCTGCCACGAGATAAAAACTTCTTTTTTCTTGCAGTTTTGAGGAAAAATATATATGTATTTTCCTTAGAAATGTAAGATATTAATTCAGAATTGTGAGATATAAACTTGGAATTGAAAGAAAAAAGTCATCAGAATTCTGTTTATAACTCACCATTCTGACTTTTTTCTCGTAAATCTAAAGAAAACTTATTATTATTATTTTTTTGCTCTTATAATTGTAAGATATAAAGTCAGAATTACTAGATATATACTCGGAACAGTAAGATATAAGCTCGGAATTGAAAGAAAAAAGTGAAAAAAATGTATCCTCAAAAAAATACATAAAGTCAGAATTGTGAGAGATAATCACAAGCTTTCAATTTTGAGAAAAAAAAGTCAAAATGCTCAGAATTGTGATATAAACTCAGAATTTAGTATGCTAGATATAAATTCAGAGTTTATAACTCGCACTTCTGTGGAGAAAAGTTTAACTTGCAAAATATGAAGTTTATATATCATAATTATGAATTTTATTTTCACAATTGCACTTTATATATTGTAGTTCTGAGTTTATATTTTGCAATTCTGAGAAAAGGTTTTTTTTTTACCCTCAAAGTTGTGATATAAGATATAAACTCAGAATTGTGAAATGTAAACTTAAAATGATAATTTAGGATTTTTTATCTCAGAATTGTGGGTTTATGTATTGCAGTTCATTAAAAAGTTCTATAAAAAACAAGTCTGAGAAAAAAACTTTTTTATTTCACAGAATTGTAGATATAAAGTCAGAATTGCAAGATATAGAAAGTCAATTTATATCTTGCAATTCGGAATTCAGTTTGAATTGTGAAACAGAAAGTTGGAGTTATCTTTTTAAAATTGTTATATTCCGTGGTGGAAACGTGCTATCATACAATACTATTGGAATGACTGGATTTTGCATGTGAAATTTAGCTGAGTAAAAAAGTGACCACAAATTTACCCAAAGGACTTGGGATGACTTTTACACTCATTTAAACCTTTAGCCAAAGTTTTAGACATTTAAAAAGAGTTTAATGAAGAATTAAAATGAAGAGGTCAAATGCAAGCCAAACAGTGTTTGAGATTCAAATGTCTTGGTGTGAGTGAGTGTTTGCTCACCACTGAGTCCACTGCATGTGTACAGTCCTATTGGTCCCATGTATGTCTGATATGGGTTACTGAAGCTGTTGTACAGTGTGACCAGAATACTGCCTGCAGACCCCAAAAGAGCCAGAGCCAACAGGATGACAACCAGAGCATGCAGGATGATGGGAGCGCCTACTAATTTCGCCAGACGGTTGAACACTAAGTGCCAGAGAGAAGGAAAAAATACAATATATTATGAGTTCATTGCGTGAAACGTTGAGTTTTTACATGAAAGATGCCGTTTGACATAAAATGGCATAACCTTTGATGTATTCCAGACATAAAACGGTCATGTGATTTTTATGGAATGGCGGTTCAAATTCCTGCAGATTCCAAAGGTCGTCTTAGTTCTAGCTTTTGATTTATTTTCATTGTGCATCTTGGCACAATATCAAAACAGACGGTGTCTGCATTCAGATGCTGCATCATCGTTTTTGCTCAATGTTCTCCTATAGTTCACACAGATGTAGAGAATCACTTTCCACTCACATTTCTCAACCACAATGTGGCATAATACTGTTTGTCTTCGTTTTGAACACTCTCAGAAAAAAAGGTATAAAAGCTGTCACAGATGCGGTACCCTTTCAAAAGGTACATATTTGTACCTTATTGACCCCTAAACGGTGCATATATGTACCTTAAAGGTTCATTTTAGTACCTAAAGTATACATATTAGTACCTTAATGTTACATATTTGTACCTTTGGAAGAAGCATCATCCCAGTGACAGCTTTTGTAACTTTTTTATCCTTAGAGTGAACAGTATAGGTTATCATTTGCAGCCTAACGAACATATTTTCTGTACGTTTTTGCATAAAATGATTCATTAAAATAAATGCTGATTGTATGATATTTTGTTATCTAATGTAAAGTTGTTCATACATTTTTGGGTTGACTAAAGTATAATTATTTTCATTAAAAAAAAATTATTTAGCTTATTTATTTAATGTATTGTTATCTTATTTAATTTATTTAAATGATCCAATTTATTTTTAACATGTTTAAAAAGGCAATAAATTACGTAAACAATGTCAAATTGCATAATCTACACTCTTAAAAATAAAGGTGCTTCAAAAGGTTCTTCAAGCGATGCCATAGAAGAACCATTTTTGGTTCCACAAAGAACCATTCAGTCAAAGGTTCTTTAAAGAACCATCTCTTTCTTACCTTTTTATAATCTGAAGAACCTTCTTTCACCCCAAAGAAGCTTTTGTGGTTCTTCAGATGTTAAAGGTTCTTTATGGAACCATTTAGACAAAAAGGTTCTTCTATGGCATCGTGAAGCACCTTTATTTTTAAGAGTGTAGCATGTAGAAAATGAGTTGAAGTCTTATTTGAAGCTTACCGATCACTGGTTTTCCAGGTGAGTCAATCCTGGGGCATTTGATTTTGGTTTCTGTGCCATTGAAAAGGCCAGTTTTGAGACTGGAGGTTCCATTGAACATTACACTCCCGGGCGGAGCGCAGTCCAAGACGGCATCGGCCCAATCCGTCGACATCCCGAAACCCAATAAAACCACTCCAGCTGCACATAAAGCAGAACTTGACAAGAAATGTGCTAGTTTCTCCGCAGACGGCATGGTTTCTGTGTAATGGTGCTCTTTTTTTTTTTTTTTTTTTTAGGTCCTGAGGTTTTTAAGCTTGTCAAGCAGACCTTGGTTCCTGGCGCTTTGTTGCTGGAAAATGGGAGGTCTTGAGAGGAGGTGAGGTGTTGGTGGCTGCTGGGGTCATAAATGGTACTTTGTCACTTATCTGAAACCAGTACCTGCTGTTTCCCTGCAGTGGCAAAAGGTTTGGTCTTGGGTGGGGAAACTGATCTCAGATAAGCTCCTGATGAAACTCATCACCAGGAGGGCAATAAAGTCATAAAGTAATCGGCTGTACAGCCATGGAAAGCTGCCCGTGTTGTCATGGCATTTATATTGGAGCTCACAACATCATAAAGAGAGTGAGGTTGATTTGCTCAAAAAGAGAAGATCAAGAAATCATCCTCTGACGGGACAGAAGTCCTGCTTTACTGCTGAGGTGTATCCAGGGTCGGCGTTATAGGAGCTGTTTCCCAGACCCTTAGAATTGTATCACCGGGCACGTGAATGATGACCTTGGGCGTAACATTTATTATCCTTACAGTCATAATTAATATGACAATAGCAGTAATGTTCATAAATCTAAGAGGCAGTGCGCCGGAGCGCGTAACGGAGCTGTGCGCTCCGGTGCGTTCGATACACCCATATATACTCGCATGCAACCAGCACTTGAGATTGGTTTGTTTTCCCGAACGTGTTCTGATCATCTTTATAGAAGCGTTTGCATGTGATTAAACAGTGGATCTCAGGTTTTGATGGAGTGCATTGGCTGCGTTGGTAACCCGGGTGATCTGTAGGTTTCTTCGTAATGTGGGTTAGTGGAACGAGCTGTAGGCATGGAATGAGAAGGGAGTTTGGGGAAAGGCTCATTGGGACTCGCTGTTCACTCTCATCCCTGCAGATCTGCAAAGTGAACACGCGGAGGAGAGGAATGTCATGCATGCGGTCCGCAGGAGCGTAGGTGTCTTTCACAGCAGAGACCGAATTAGAACCGAGGTTAGACAGAACCGGTGTATTTCTGCAGCAGTGCGTCTCAGTCTGTTTTACATCTCTCTCGTAGTTGTTGTTGAGTCATTAACATTATGAGTGTGGCTCTTTTAATAAATCACTTTAATGAATAATCAGTCTGGTAACTGCAACCATGTTAGTCATAAATGAGTGCATGCTTTCAATCAGGTTTTAAATGAAGTTGTGTACTTGTGCATATAACACAGCAAAATATGCTGATTTGCAAAAAACTATTACCTGATTTGAAGATGTTGAGTTCAAATATAGCAATAAAAAACTTTACTTGCATCGTGTTTTTTTTTTCTTTTTCTCAAAACAAGAATGAAGTCCCCCCCCCCAGATTATATGTCAGCTTTAATGCACTTCAAAATAACGAAAGCAGTCAAGTGTCAAAAATGTTGGATTAGACAGGAAATAATTTATTTAGTACCATACGTGTAAAAACTGTCTGAGAATTGGACAAATAGTTGTAATCTGTCTTAGTGGATGCTACAAAATGCATCATATTTTGTAAAAAAGTGTGATGTGCAAGAGCAAATCAGGCAATATTTTTGGAATCAAAAAATTTCGAAAAATTTTTTTTTTTGAAAAATTAGTAGGAAACATGTATTGGATTTTATTCAGCAAATATGATGCAATAGAAAACAGAATGTCAAGCCTACTGACATGAGCAAAATAGTTATGAATGCAATTTGGAATGTTTTCCTTCACGGACGCAATAATCTGACGATAAACGCATTTATAGATGCTTTTAAAGAGGAACATATCACAGAGCCAACAATAATTTGTAGTATAAAATGCCAGGTTTATTAGAAAACATGTTCAACTCAAATCAATAGGGTCTGCTATGTAGAGTATTATAAGGCAGCGTTTCTCTTTGAGAATTTTAAAAGATTCATCTTCTCAATGATTATATTATGTTTTTATTTAAGTTCCACTTCTGTCAATGTGTTTGCCATCTTTGTGGATATATTTGCTCAGAAGAGACAGTGTTGATCCTCCTCAAGCCATTCGGATCTGCAGGTTTTTATTTCTTCCAATGATTTAAAGGAATATTGTGGGTTAAATACAAGTCAGACTTAGTTGACAGTATTTGGAGGTGAAGTACAGGTGATGTCTATGGGGTGAAAGTACAACAGAAGTTTATGTGAATGCATTTTTGTTTGCACTGGATTTTTTTTCTGGTGGTCATCTACAGCAAGTTACAGATGATGTCTGTAGTTTTATGACTGCTTAACCTGAAATATAAACAGATGCACTTTACTGTTTGCCGCCTTTCTGTAAGAGAAATCCCAGAATCGGTTTTTGTTTGGGAGTGTGTGTTTCATTTAATAATGCTGGTGCGGTGCCTGCTGTGTTGTGTGTTCTCACTGGTGTTATTGCGTTTAACATTCTCTTTGAAGCAGTTGTAGTTTTTTGCTTGTGGGTAACAGTGGGAGCTAATTGGTCCATAGCCATTGCAGTTTAGTGGGCGAAACTAATTATTTGTGTGGTGCTCGATAGATCTGTCAGGGTCAGAAGAAAGGCCTGGCGCTTTGTGGAAAGTGTGCCAAGCAAAATGATCAGGAAGCGGAGAAAAAAGGCTCATTAGCAGGATTGAAGTTTGTTTGCCTCTGTAATCGAGTGAATTAAGCTGTCTAAATGAAGTAAATGGGAATCACGTTCTCCAGCAGGAGTTATGGCAGCTGTGTTTATGAAATACAGTGAGTATATTCACTTCACTTTTACACGTGTAAAAGCGTGCAAATGAGCAGCTATCTGAAATGCTTCTTCTTGAATTAGTTTGCTCTGTGCAGTGTTTGTGTCCTGACGCTCAGGAGAGAGTAGATGGAAGATCCAGGACATTGTTTGGGCATGTATTCATTTACTGGAACTCTCGGCTATTCTCGTGGGTTCAAACGCAGGAAAGTAAAGACAGACAAGACAGGCAACTTCCTGTGAGAAAACCAGAACCTCTCCATACTCTCTCTTTCTTCCTCGCTCTCTCTCTCTCTCTCTCTCTCTCTCTCTCTCTCTCATCTAATCTCATCGTTTGGCTTAATTTATGTAAAATGATGCAAATTTCTGTTTTGGTCGCAGCAGTTCCTTGCAGAGCTGTATAAACATTTTACTGTACTTTAAAGTTTTAAGTCATGAAAACTAAACCATTTTCTCTTTACAACTAATTAATTGGATTGCCACAATAGGTGACTAGATTACCCACAAGCCTCTGCTCTTGAGTAATTTATATTAGTTCTGTTAAATGATTAATCGCATCCAAAATACGTTTTTGTTTACATAATATATGTGTGTGTACTGAGTATATTTATGTATATAAATATACACACATAGGAAATATGTTATGTTTATATGTTAAATATATTTTAAATATATAATGTTATATACATGTAAATATAAAAAAAATATATAGGTATATATATATATATATATACATAATAAATATACACGGAACACACACATGTAAACAAAAACCTTTTTTGGATGCGATTAATTGTTTGACAGCACTAATTTATATATGTTTGAGCAAAGCATGGGTACTATTTTGGAATTAAGTGATGTTTTTGGTTTTGACTGTTCAGTTTCTCATTGCAAGTATGTGGTACTAGTAGACTATATGATAGCAAATTTTATTGTGTGATGAAGAATAATAAAGTGGATATCATAAATCCAATATTTATTTTTTACTGTGTGATTATATTTTGTTTTATTTAAAATATTTACCTGATTATTATAAATGATTTATTTATAGTAAATAATTATAGATAAATGATTTGAGTAAATACTTTTCCAACGAAGTTTTAAAGAAATGATTCATACCAATTTGCAAATGTACAATGGTGTTATTTTAGTATTATATATATTATTTATATTATTATTTATATATATAATATTTATTACTGTTTTGAATTAGCTTTTATTTTTATATTTTAATTTTAATTTTAGTTCAGGTTCTAGTGATTTTGTTATGTGGTGTTTTCATCACCATCATTATTTTTATTATTTAACGTGACCCTAACCTGAACTACGAACAATAGTGATATGACAACTAGTAGTTGGTAACTGTGAATTTACAATCAAGGGTGAAGCACAAGAACACTCAATCAGCCTCTTGTGAAGAACACATCTGGTGGCCATCCGCTCGTGTGTCAGTGGTAAGAGCTCGAGGAAGTGGTTGGAGTTGTCATGGCTTTATGAGGACTGTGTGTTTGACAGGGTGTGGCAGCATCTGGGCTGCGTTCAACACGTGCTCGTTTCTGAGATTCCTGTTACTCAGCTGAGCAAACACAACCTCACGCATCTATCTGCCGCTCGCTTGCGTTTCTCTACTCGTCCCTCACGCCGAGGCCTGCCGCGACACGCACACGCTTCCCAGATGAACCTGAGGACACACGCGGATTCTTGGAATATTTGAGGTGTGGTATCAGTGAGCGGTTAGTGGGTGACTGTGTAAACTATGTAAATATGTGTGCGGTTGTTGGTCTTTGTACTGTTATGATGGGATGCTGCAACCTGTCTGTCTGAAGTCTTTAAGAAGAACCGGCGTTTGGCTGTAAGCGCATGTGGGATGTCCCAGAGGACAGGTTTATTGCTCAGAGGTTGCTTTTTTCATTGCTTTCTCTGTTGAATTAATGGATGGTTCATTCATGGAGTTTCAGTTATTCATTCAGGGATCAGCTTTGTCTCAAATGCTTTTCCTGAAAATACTTATAATAAATAATTATTTTTAATTAAAATTTAATTATTTTAATCTTTAATTAAAATGATAATTGATTCAATTATAAGAATTATATTTATTTTTAATCAAAACTGTATACAAATAAGACCATTTTTTTACATACATTAATTGTAGAGCTATAAAATCAGTGTGGATAACAGCTCAGATTATTTGATCCTGAAAAATGATCCAAATCAGTCAAGCAGCACAATATAAGTGGTTATTTTTGTACTTTTTTAAATCAAAAAGTGTTTATATACTAAATAACCAT